TTTTTCTTGAAAATAAAAATCGCAAGGGGGAAGAGTCAGCCGTGTGTCGGGACTCGCAGCCGGTGGACTGCTCGGACCTCCTCGCGCACTTACTGCTCGAGAGTCTGGCGCCGGCGGCACCGTCCAGCTTCACGTTGACGGCGAGCGGCGACGGCAGCGGTTGCCGGTGGCGCGCCGCCTCCGAGTCCCATCGGGGTCCCAGCGGGTCCCCCTGGGCCTGGGCCCCGCTGTTGTCGATGAAGGGCCCCGCCTGCTGCTGGTAGATGGGGGTCGCCACGGCCTGGTGGACCAGCGGGCCCAGCGGGGTGCCCAGCGGGGTGCCGAGCGGCGAGCCGGGCGAGCCGAGCGGCGACCCCAGCGGCGACCCGAGCGCGGGCGCCCCGAAGGCGAAGGCGCTGGAGAAGAGCGCCTCGCCCGGCACTGCAACACACGGAGAGCGGAGAGGGCGTGTTAGAGAGAGAGAGAGGAAGGGGTTGTGGGTCTCCTCGCGGGGGCGCCCCGCGCCAGCCCGCCCCGCCCCGCCCCGCCAGAACGGGCCGGCTATTGATTGGTCTACATAAGGCCCAGGCCGGGCGGGCGGCCGCGCAGCACCGCTCAGCGGCGGCGCAGTTCCCCGCCCGCGGCCCCGCCCGGCCCTCCCGGGGTGCAATGCGACACACCAAAGCCATCAGCCCCGCTGAGCATGAGCGCGTGACCCGGCCGCCCCCGCCGCGCCGGCGGCTGCTACCACGCCGCGCTCTTCTCGTCCTCGAGTTCGCCCGCCCCGGCGCGGCCGCGGCCCGGCACGGCCCCGGGGCGGCAGGTGGGTCGCGGGCGCGCGCGCGCAGCAGGCAGGCGATAAGATTACGCGCCCCGCCGACAAGACCCTCCCCATCGGCGGAGCCAGTGCGTCCGGCCGGCCGCAGAGCCACAAATAGACGAAGGGCCCCCCGAGTGGGTGACGCGGTGACTTTTAGTCACACCCAGCAGAAGGTCTCGCAAAAGAGTCACGCTGTACCGCATGAGGTCACGCGGGTGGGTCGCGTGGGCCACACGGGGCGGGCCGTCAAGGTGCACGACGCAAACAGGTGGTGGTGTCCGACCCGTCGTCGTCGTGGTCGGGGCGGTGTCGGTGTCGACTATGCGGCGGGACACATCACACGCGGACCAGAGAGAGAACCCGCAGAGCATCGCCCGCATCATGCATCTCCATCGCCCTGCATCTCCACCACCACCAGACCAGGAGGGCACTTCATACACTCCACTTCACCTCCCTCCCCCCTCTCACACCTCCTACCCCTCAGCCCTGCTCTGCAAGCGCTGCTCGCCGCTGCGCTGACACGTCCATAACTTATAAAGCCTCGCGAGCGCGTCAATACGTAATTCCGTGTCCGCCCGGGCAACTGTAAAGAAAATCTTAGAAACTGATATACCATGGCCACGGCTAAATTGTTTTTACAACCTTTTCACAATAACATATCATGGAATTGTATGTCATACTCCCATTTTACCAGGAGATGAAAAATTTCAGCCATGATATGATCACTTTCGATAAGTCCCCAAAACTGTCTCTACCAGTTTTTCAAGTGGCGGCCCCGCCACCTTGCTCGTGTTGCCCTAACGGAGCGCGCGCGCACACGCACACACACACACACACGCCCGAAATTAATAATCGGCACACGACACGCACGCACGCACGCACGTACAGTCCAATAGTCTGGCGTATATTGTGTTTGAGCGAGGCAGCCACACATATAGCAGCGCGCGGCAGCTAAGCTCTTTGATCAACCGGAACATCCATCGCGCATTAGCGCGGCCGCAGTTAGCGCGGGCAGCGTGCAGGCAGCATGCAGGGCAGACTGACTGAAGTGGCGACGGCGGGAAACGAGCGAATAATGAGGGACCCGCGTGCTGCTGGCTGGCGGTGCGGAATGGAATTCATGAAATAACCCTCGATACGGAGTCGAGTGTGCGGGGGATGTGGGGCGCGCCGGGCCGCCAAGCGGTATACTCACCTCTGGGACCGGTAAACGCAAAGGGGGCTCGTGTTTTAGGCGGATTTTCCACGCGCTCCAAAGCAATAAGAGGTGGTAAATTTTCCAAGTACGCTAGCATTTTAAGAAGTGCGCGTTGATTTGCAAACAGTCGTGGGCTCTGGTCTACAGAACTGCTTGAAAACTGCCAACCAGCGTCTAGGTTCGAAAATTTGAATTGCATCTTCTTACTATTATGGAGCCTTAAACATCAAGAAAAGGGGCCTTTTTACCGGCATCGTCCGGAAAGTACGTCCGCTTTTCTCCGCTTCTTTCGTCGAATCACGGGAGCTCGGCGCCTGCGAAAAGCACGGTAGGCAACCCAGCAGTGCACGCGTGCACTGCAGGTAAGATGTTGCCTACCGATCAGGCGCCATGGGAGCTGCCATTGGCTGAACTATAAACAGTTTCGAAACGGCATTAGGCGGGACGTACTTTCTGGATGATCCCTACGACGAAGGCGCGACGGGCACTGCGGCGCAGAGGATCGAACGCTGTCGATCGAGACGGGACGGCCCACTCTCCATCATCGAGCTCTCGACCTCGACCAGGAATATACGAGCATATGGCTTCCATGCAAGCACATGTTATTTAGTGGAACAAGCCTCTGTTGAAAGTCACAGTCGGCATAAGTTTCGCAGGGGCACGGCGCAACTTAAAAATGGAAACTTCGGGAAACTACAAAAATCTGAATTGGTAACATGTTTCAATAAAGTTTAGAACCGTGTACAAAATTTTAACATTTTTAGACTTTAATCAATTTTTTGAACAAAATAAGTTTAGCTTCAGCAACATTCATGCGCTAGAGAAAACCAGAATGAGAAGGTGTCGCTCGCTTCTTCGCGGTTCTTGCTAAAATCAGCTAAAAATGGAAAACTTGACAGGCCTAGCGGTTGACGAGCTGGAGCGCGGCCCCTCCTCGTCCTGAGCGCGACGACAGTGCGGGTCGTTATCGCTAGAGAGTCACATGCCTCGATATCTCGATACGTGTGTGTCGTGCGCCCGTCGCACTGTCCACCACGCCGCTGGCCTCGCTCCTCCTCGCCTCCCTCCTCCCGGACGTGCCGCCGTACTTACACGAACGCTTACCATGCGCATTGCGCCGACCCGAGTCGGCAGCAGCAGCAGCAGCAGCAGAAGGGTGCGGCAGCGCGAGCCTTAGCTGGTACCCCCCGGGGGGTCGCGCGGGCGCGGGGCGGCGCAGGGAACCTTATTTGGCGAGACAACAGAGAAGGGCCCAGCGCTGCGGCAGCATGCATGTCGGAAGTTCCGCATATACTTCGCATTTCGATGTGTACCGTACCGTATGCCGTTTCCGTTTCACCCTGACTGACTTTGGCTTTTGCGCCGTAGGCTCGACCCGGCTAGCGCTAGCCTGTAGGCTAGGCTAGATACCCGACTCGGGGATAGACCAGAGCAGGCCAGGAGCAGGGAAGCTTGGCAAAGCCAGATTCTTGGTGCGCTGCCAAGGCGCGGCCGCGGAGCGCAGGGCGGCAGAGCAGAGCCGGGCAGAGCGATGGAGGCAGAGGCAATCGCTATAGAGTAGTCGGTCCCGGCCGGCGGGGCGGGGCGTGGCGCCGCCGTACAGTAACAAGTAGTTCAGCGCGAGCCGGGGGCGGGACCAGCGGGGAGAAGGGGTGAGACTTACGCAATGCGCACGGCAAAAGGCCACACCACCACAGTGACGCCGCGCGCCTGAACCACCGCGAGAACCTCTACGACGGAGACGGGAAACGGCCGGCGTCGGCGTCGTGGTGCGCTGCTGTTGCTCGGCCGCGAGGAAGCACATCGGACGGACGGCGCCTCTACGTCCTTTTCTCTATCTCCCTCTTTGTTCTGCGCGGCCCCCGGCCACGCCCCGCCACGCCCCGCCCGCGTGGCGCCAGGCGTACACTGACTGACTGACTATAGAGAGCGCTTTGCTTTCCAGTCGACTCGAGATCGTCGCTCGGCGCCTCGCCTCGCCCCGTCCCGCTTCCCCTCCCACTTCGCACCCGATATGCTTCCTTCATAGTAAACGCGCCCGACACCGCGCATCTGACCCGGAAGGTAAACACAGTTGTTTGCCGCCGCGTGCTGCTGCTGGAAATTCGAAGCGTAAAGCGTTTTTCTCCGAAGAAAGTGCAAAACACATCTCCAATGACGTACGGTATTAACAAGGATGTGTGAAAAAAGATACATCCTGATGTCTAAGTGGAACATGGTACAAACCGGCCTTTTATTGTATGATGCGGCGTGATGTTTTGGGATTGCATATTCTTTGTTCGAACAGATTAAACGAAAATGTTAAAGGACGCACGGCTTTATACTGCGGAAAGAGTGAGTGAGTGTGAGATTGGAAATGGAGAAAGAGAAAGAGATGGATGGAGGGGCAGGGACAAAATGAGCTCGGGGATTGGAATAGTAAAAGAGAGCAGGGGGCGCCAGAGGGGGCGGGGCAGA